TTTTTTTTTTTTTTTTTTTTTTGGCCTGGCTCATAAAAGTTTGTTGTTGCAACGTGACAAAATGGGATATACATTACATAGCAAGGCGCAGTCTGTTGCTTAAAGTATCTGAACACAGTTTCTGCAGTGAAAAATGTAATATGCAGGCTATTTTAGGATGAATGTGACGAGTGTTTCCAATGTTATTGCTTGTGCTTTTGCCCACAAAGTGACCTTTGTTGGTATAGCTTCCCTTCCAAAGCCCAGAAAGCTGCAACCAACCTGTCTTGCTCTGGCTCGAAACCTCAGAGTTCAATATTGACTCCTGTTCAGCGCCAGTCAAAACAAATACCTAATTTCTGTTTGGCTCTGCTGTTTCTGGTAATGCACTCCGCTCTTCCTTTTCCAGAACTCTGTGGATTGTTTCAGCGCTCCAGACACAGGAGAAAAAAGCACATAGAGGTATTTTCCTCCAATCTGGCACAAGCAACTCCAGTCGGAGCCTTCGCCTCGGTGTTTTCGCTCCTTCCTTTAACCGTCCAAGGCTGACTCCTCTGCGGGAACGTTTTCCCGGCTTTGCCGATCATCAGTAAAATTCCAGCTGTCATATTAAGAGAATGCATCTGTTCTGTGTAACATCATCTGTTATTTTGAGTTTGTCCATTTTAGCCTGATTTTGCACATGCATGTATGAACTCACTGCTTCTGAATGATAGCCATTATATCTGCACTGTGTTCATGCCAAATATGCAAATGAAAGATTTGTAGTGAAAAAGACCTAAACTTGCGTCTCAGACTTGTAAGTCTCAGTCAGTACAAAAGGGAAGAAGAGGGCCTCTCTTGAAGACGGCCTTGATTTGTCCTCTGATAATTTTTCTATTTCCTTTGTGAACATTCCAATGCAATGTGTATCCTTCCTTGTTTGTAATCTGACAGTTAAGTAACTAGCCTGTTTTAAACTGTGATTAAAGCTTGTGGAACTGCTTTTTAGGTTCAGCTCACAGACAAATGCTGTAAAGAAATAATGAAACATTCTGTCTAGCCCTCTGTGCAGGAAGTTACTGTGATTTCTCTTTAGTCTGTGAAAATAATTCAGTTTTTTTCTCTTTTCTGATGTCTTGTTGTGTCTGAATGTATGCCTCATTTTCTACTGTTATACTAGAGGTGTAATTAACAAATCTAAGTCACCCAAAGACGTTTTGAACTGCTTACTAATGTTGGACTTTTATTTATGCTGCTGACTTTTTATTTTGGAATGAATCAATAAATTGAGCAAGTGCCTTTATTTATTTATTTCAGTGAGAGTCTGTTAAGACCTGTACTTAACAGTATTCAAAGTAGTATGATTTGCAAAGTAACATTTACATTGAATGAAAACAATAATGATATATTTATACGTCTTAAGGAGAGCTTTAAAGTCTGCACATTAAATAAAGGGACTTGTATTGTAGTTGCACACTGTTTTAATTAAAAGCGACATGTCCCTGTTCCTGTTCCATGTGAGCTCATTGGGTGTAGCCTGAACTCCAGAAAGCAGACATGCATCACCAGGCTCAAACCACCAAAGGACCTTTTTTTATGTTTTTATGGCATTGGATGACAAATCTCACCTCCTTCAGCAAGAAAACGCATCAAACGCCGTGATGATGTCAGAGGAGTCACTGTTTCAGTTTTGTTGTTTCAAAGCAAACAAGTGATGCAACACATATGCAACTGTAAATACTGTAATTTATAACCATCACTAAGCCAATCTCTTCAGATTTAAAATTTAAAAACAGCCTTGTTTTTTTTATAACCTGCTTTACATGAAAATACTTTCATCAGAGAGTAATTGAGTCACAAGGGAAATGTGGAAGGAAATTGACAAATAATCAGTCCTTCGGAGACTAATCTAAAATTATTTTGACGCCTGTGATTGTCCTTGAATAATTGCACTTTGATAAAGGGTTGTAGATAATTCCCTCTTGGACATCAGATATTTTGAAAAAGGACCACAGTCATGTAAAAGCTCTAACCAGAATATTCTCTAACTACTTATTTTTCAAAAGTTAATTTACATAAATCTCCGGTTTTCACTTAATGATCACAGAAATTCACGCAAAATCAACGTATCCTCACATTTTTTTGTGCTACTGCATAACTGAGAGTCAATTGCAAATATTTTTCCACAAAAATAGTCAAAGCATAAGTGACTGTTAACTCCCACGTGCATGCAGCAGTATTTTTTTCTTTTCCCACACTGCTTACTTTTGTGAAGTTACACAGTTTAATGAATACATTCCGCAAATACACATGGTCTTGAAAACAACTTTGACATTCACTTGTTTCATTTGTTTTCTGGTTGTTTTTAAGTTTTTTCATGCCTTTTAGAGTTTATCAGTTCTTTTTTATGGTTTGTTCATGTCTTCGTTCATTCTCTGGTGTTCAGGGTTTTATTCGTTCCTGTCTTCTTATTAGGCATTTTAGTTTATATTTTAGTGCTATTCTTCTTCTTCCTCTTCTTTGTGTTTAATTAAGCTCCTTCTGTGTTTTCTATGTTATTTAGTCTCCTTCCTTCAGCTTCCCTGCTCAGCACTTTCTTTTCACAGCTGCGACACATTCCTCTTATTAAGCTCGTCTGGATCCAATGTCATTCTCTGACCTTGACTCAGTTTTTAAGCTCCTGGTTTTCAATGTTCTTCGCTTGTTCCTCTTACTACTCTGCTTCATGTGAGTTTCCATTACAAGTTCTGTTTGTTTTGTTGTTAAATTCCTCTGCTCTGCATGTGGGTTCTTATTAACCATAAAACATGACAACTACTCACCACAAGGTCATAATTAGTAGGATTGCACAGATTAATAGGGCAACATTTCTCAATAATGGTAGCTTACATCTCAGTGCTAATTAAAGAATAGATGTGAACAAACAAAAAGACAAGCTTACAAATTATCTTTCAAAAGATGCTCAAACTGGAAATATCTCTTCACATTCTCTAGATTGGGAGTCAAATACGAGAACATTGATCAGTTCCAAATGTATTGAACTTTGTAATGAAATGGTACAGAACAAGCAAATAGGACTAGATGTCTGAATGGAGGTTTTGCAGGATACAACAAAACCTTAAACAACAGATCTTAAAATTATAATATGCTGCCAGTTTTCTTCCTGCCAAGCTAAGTATGTAACAGGGTGATGAATGTAGATTTTTTTTTTGGGTAATCCATATCTTAAAATAAACAGAAAAGCCACGTTAGCTGCAAGAATTGAATAAGAGTCTTTGACTTGTTTGATTAAAGCCATTTTCTCAATATTGATTTTTCAAAGGGTTTTAACATTTTCAAGGATAGTTTCCATATCCAGCATGTCTGGATGAGCTGCTGCATGAAGTTGGAAGAAAACGATATACCTACACAACAAGTGACAAGTGCTGAACTGAACCCCGTCCAAAGATCCAGACTGATAATATCTGACTGATTTAGACCACAAAAATTCAAATTCAAAATGTATTTAACAAAAACATCTTGATTTAAATAACGGCTTTAAATTGTAACTGCTTAGTATTCCATACTTTCATATCAGTTTTAGGAAGTAAACTTGTCTTTGTTGGTATTCAGCTGTATTGCTTTATATTTTTAGTTGTTTCCATGATGTAAAAAGGAACTTCACACTATTGGTTTAGATTTAATAGGGGGTTTTAGTGAGGAGCTGTCAAGTGTTTCCAGCCATCTTGTTCTTTTCCTTCTGTTTAATGTTTGTAAGGCTGACTGGAGACTGGAAGACTACACTATTTACTGATATAAAAAGAAAAGTATTATTAATATGTATAATTTCTACTTTCAAACATCTCAAAATACTTCATTATAGGGTATAGAACAAATAACTACATGTTTCTCCAACAATAGAAATAAATGTTTGTATTAAAAATATACAGTAACACTTTATTTGAAGGGGTGTGCATAAGACTGACATGACACTGTCATAAACATGACATAATATCTGTCATGAACATAAAGAAGTCTTTATGAATGTTTATGACAGATGTCATGAAGTGTCATTCATAATGACACTTTTAATGCAAAGTTGCTCTAAAAGTTGCATTGAAAGTCCATTGAAAGTGCCAACTTTGCATTAAATTGTCATAATTTACAAAATCATGCAAAGCTGACACTTGTAATGGACTTTCAATGAAACTTTTAGAGCAACTTTGCATTAAAAGTGCCATTATTTACCGAATGACACTTCATGACAACCGTCATAGACATTCATAAAGACTTCTTCATCTTCATGATAGATGTTATGTAATGTTTATGACAGTGTCATGTCAGTCTTATGCACACCCCTTCAAATAAAGTGTTACCAAAAATACTTTTGAAATGCTTCTGAAAATATTCCAGTTGTTGACGTTTTGTCCTTGCCTTGCTTCCCACTGTCTCCTTGTATCTGATTTGTTTTTCTCTGAAAGCTCTGCCCTCAGCAGGGCTGTGCCAGCCTTCTATAAATCACTCCATCTGACTGTCCCGTTGGTATTTGCTTTTCATAACCTCTTCTTGTGCAGGAGAACAACCATGAGGGCCACCGCTGGGACCATTGTGATTTTATCGTTTGCCTTTTTAGCAACAGGTAAACAAATAAGAGATAAATTTATATGTTAAAACTCATTAGCGTGCCTCCGTCTGTCTTGTTAGAGTTTTCACATTAAATATTTTTAATGTTTCGTGGACTAAATTAACAGCTCAGGTGGCACAGAAGTGTTCCGCTCCGCTCAAGTACCCGCACACCCGACTGGATAAGAAATTCACATCCAGACAGACGTTCAGCAGCGGGGAGAAGGTTTACTACGGCTGCGCCGAGGACTTCACTCCATCCAGGGGGAGCAGATCTGTGGAGTGTCGGAATGGAAAGTGGAGCCGACTGACTCTAAAATGCGAAAGT